GGATGGACAAAAACCCTTTCCCTCTGGGAACGACTTCTGGAGGCATTTTCATATCATGATTCATCATTATCGTTCCCCTGACCTGAAAAAGAACTTGAGCAGGAAACGGTCAGACCGTTTCCCCGAAAAACTGAGACGCTCCATCCCATTTGGCCAGCTTGTTTCGTTCGGCGAGAAGCCGCGCGCGCAACAGAGCGTATGTGTTTTGGGTGATATCTCATGTGGCAGCCCAAGCCAGGTCTAATCGAGGCAATCCCATGTATATAGGTGGCCTACAAGATCCTAGCCCTAGAGCAGCAAAACCTAGGACCTAGAACTGGACCGAGGGCATCAACAACCTTCCCCCCCTTGCAAGCCAATTCGTAGTTAATATTGTATAGTCACATACAAAACTAGTAGTGGATGTTGATGTTGTATATACTTTGGCGAAGCTTCAAGCCTCTTTTTGGAAGGTTCTCCACGCTCACACCACGGTTCACACCATGGTTCACCGCACCTGTGAGTTTGATCCAAGGAAGGCTTGCAGAGGCGGGATGCTGATGGCAGATGGGATGGGCAGAGGATGGCCTCTTTGGGTGTTCTGGTCATGGAGTGTCCAACGCTTGGTGTTGGGGTTCACACCTGAACTCCCCCTGGGGTTCATCGTCACCCCTCCAGTCCAAGACAAGTTTTCACAAGAAATCTCTTTGAACATCTTTGAGAACTATACGGAAGAAGAAGGAGAATCAGGGTGTTGAACTCTCCGACTTTGGGGTCAATCTTCGCCGGAAGAAGGAACGCGACGGGACGCTTCGGTGAATCACGCACGTGTGAGGAGAGAGACTGCTACGAATCACCACTGGAGAAGTAGTCGATGCGAGTAGTGGACCCATCCTGCTGGCTTGTGTGGCGAGAGCTCTATCATGCTCTGCATGTTTTTGAGACTAACAACAACCATAAAATAACCTTGAGACTCATCTGGATTATTTGGATTGTTCGGAAAGATCTATATAAACCTTTTTCTATGGACCCATCTGACTCCAGCGCTGCCTTTCTTGGAAGACACATGAAGACACCCTCTTGTCAGTCTGCTCATTCATGCTCTCGACCAACTCTGGTAGAATGATGAGTCCGATTCCTTGCATTTTGCTGCTGGGAACCGTCACCGGAGGTGGTGCGCTCGTTGCTGGAGGCTACGGCCTTCCATCTTTCCTTTCACGACAGCTGGTGAAAGGCTCGTGCATCATACTGCCTGGAACAGTCACCTGGTGAGGTGGTCCAGTGGTGAGGTGGCTGCCGTTCCGGCTCGCGCTGCTTCTGATCAGGCCACAGCTGGCCACAGCAGCTGTTGGCGAAACTCCTTTGCTCTGCTAGAAGTGGTCACTACTTCCAGTGGTGACTGGAGGTGGTCCCCATCTGGGGATCTGGAGTCTGGGGGCATGCGTGTCTGGTTCAACCGCCGCTTCCGCAGCTTCCGCATGGTTTGGACTATACTGACAGGACCACCTGTCAGGAACATCGGAGCAGAAATTCTGCGCAGATCAGGCCATCTTGGAAGATGAACAATCAAGACAAGAAAGGAGGAAGGCAGCAGGTGATTTAACTTTGTAACATGGGCAAACAATGCAAAGAACTGGGAAAGGTCGGGCAAGACTTCGAACCACCCGAGAGAGTAGTACAGTTAAAGAGGATACGTTCACTTTTGCAGCCCAAACATGATGTTTGTTTTTTTCTCCAATGTGAAGATCAGTGAGAGGAACAGGTGTTTTGCTTATCCCACCCACATATGCCTATGAAACTGCCACTGGAGGCCTTTTCTACCAAAGACTTCCAGCCTTCCCACTCAAGCTGGAGGGCTGGAAGAAAGCTACATCTGAGAATGATATACGTAGGTCTATTCTACTTTCATCGCCAAGCGAGATCTGCGACAACTGCCGTGGGCGTCCTGGACTCCGAACGCGCCAGTCCGTCCGTCCGACTGCGCGGTCCGGTTCCGGCGCAGGGACCATCCCTGTTCGGAGCATCCGTGGGCGGTGCGGGAACGCCCCGTCCTTCGGCGGGTTTGCCCAAGGGTGACGGCCCCAAACCCAAGAGCACCGCTTTTCCGTCAGACTTGCTGCAGGAAAGAGGGACGTACGGGATGGGCTGCTGATGTCAAGGGGATTCCTCAGCCATACTCCAAGAAATCCCACGGACTGAGGGCGCCTCGGTGACACTCCTGCGACCGCCAGGGAAGAAGGCTTGGCTGAGCGGCGACGTTTGAAAGAGAAGGAGGAAGTGAGCAAGCTGAAGGCACCTGGACTGGCTGGGAGTCCGGGAGGTATCCAAAAAGATCCAAAAAGCAATTGATATGATATGTTTCATGATATTCAGGTCGCTTCGTGACGACCACCGCCCGGGCCAGTGGCTGTCAGAGAGAGGGTAAAAGAAGAATCTACTGGTATACTATATTTTTGGACCCTTTGATACCTGGTTTACTTATATTATGTCTTACTTGCCTTTTGCAAACATTGTTGGATGTACTTTTACGACCTCTTGAGTGGACCACGAAAAAATTGAAGGGGGTGACCCGGCAAGCAATTTTCTCAATTATCTATTCTCAAGCACTTTGTCGAACATTTGGGTAAAAACCTAAGTCGGATAATAACATTAATTGGCATGTTCTCGGTGGAGAAATAATCAAGAGGTTCCTCCATCACCTTGTCAGGGCCACACGAGGCCGAGCCTTTGCGGCCTCCATAAACATACAAAAAAAGCGATGGCCTCCGCGGCCTCCATCACCTTGCACACCCCTCAATTAACAATCAAAATGAGTTAGGCCATCAGTTGTCCTCATTCGTACAAAGCGGTCCATACCCGTTTTGATGCCCGAATCTCAAAGATACAATATATTCACCGCTGAACTGTTTCTGGGAAACAAGAGTGAATTTCTTCCGCAAGCAGCATTGGGCAACAACACAGGCGACAAAGCAGGACAGTAGCCACCACACTCAAAACCAGTCAACAAACATTACTTCAGGGTTGTCCTCTGGAGGAGGGGTAGGCTAATTTTAGTTGGCAAGCATGGGCCTGGGAAAGTGCAGGGGATGCATCACAGGACGAAAACCAGGCAGGAAAGCAGCCACCACAGTTCTAACTCACGCACCAAAGTCCTTTCTAGTCACATCAGCAGAGTCTTTGAGCATGGCTGCTTGCGTAAAGAGGAGTTGCGAGATGTTTGGATTACTGGATGGGGGTTTTCCACCTGGGGAGTGGAAATTAAGGGGTAGGCGATGAGTGGCCCCCCCCCCCCCCGAAGCAACAGCTATAGAACATTAATTGAGGAGTAGAGGTATCCTCGATTGGGACCCTCAATTCATATTTTTATTTGATGGTCATCTATTTTTCGACCACCTTGAAACTGTACACTGTACATTGTACTGTTTTGAAGTGGTCCAAAAACAGAGTGATTATGTAAAATAAGTATACATGACTTAGAGATGAACGCAGCATGAAGCGGATGGAACATATTAATAGAGAAGTGACGCCACGCTTATTTTTGGACATTTTTGGACCCTCTCAAAATTTCTGAAATTATGTATCTCTATAACCACTCTATTATTGGACCCTTTTTCAAATTGTGTGCAAACATTGTTTGATATATTGTTCGACCACCTTGAAATGGTACATTTTTAGGATGTCCGAATACAAATATATTGCTCGCATGTTGTACAATAGTACACTATACATTTGCAACCAGCTGATGCATATGCTATGATAATAAACTATATAAACAAGTGCAACCAACTGATGCATATTCATACGATGCAATCATGAACATTATATTCAGACATAGACTGTTGAGAGGAGTCGTTTGTATGCCTTTCATGGACGTGGTGATGCAAATGATATGATGAGAAATACAGGCAGACATACATGATATATGAAAACCGTGTGTTTTTCAATGTTTTCTCCCACCCCCAACTCCTCTCCCAGACACACCTCAGGATGCAGAATGTGCATTTTCGTTGGACCCCTAGCCAAAAACTATGTGGCAATGAACTCACAGTCAGAGCTTAATGTCTCAGGACCTTCGGTGTGGGCGGGTTTGTTCTGCTGGTTGTAGGGCAACCTTATGGGAAGGGTATTGGGTAACCTTTTAATCATCAGCATCCAGAAGCAAGTGGCTGGAAAGCTTATCGGAACGGATGTCCTCTCTTGATGTCCTCTCTTGGATTTAACTACAAACAATAATAGTGTAATTAGAATATTGAACGATGGTCTCGCGCCCAACTTAGCTGGGGCAGGTTCGATCTGAAGGCGATGGGGAGAGAGCGACAGCGAGAGAGATACATAATGGGTGCCATGATAAAACACACGCGCAAAATTCATGATGAAACCCTGATCTTTGGAACACTCTTCTTGGTGACAGTTTGACGCATCAGCACCTTCGGTGCGGGTGGATTCATGAAGTTGCTTTCATGATATTTTTACAAGTAGCTCTTTTTGGAGGTAGAGATAGGTTTTGAGAAAATTATACACGCACAGGTGTATGAACAGCCGGAACAGGTTGGACATGCAACGGTTGCTGGTGCGTTTTGGTCAGGAGGTTGCATTAATTGTCCGGGATCGGGTAAGGACCGAGAACAACTTGTTTTTGCGCCTTGACCCAAGAATGCAAACTCTACTGAAATTGTTCTGGAATCTGTGACAATGTGTTCTGTAGGATATGGTCATTCAGTCCTTCTGCGAAGTGATGGGAATGCTGTTGCTTGCGGATTGAATGGTACTGGACAATGCAACATTCCACCTTTGGAGGCGGGAATGAGCTACATCCAAGTTTCTGCAGGAGCTTATCATTCAGTGCTTCTGCGAAGTGATGGGAGCGCTGTTGCTTGCGGAATAAACGATGATGGACAATGCAACATTCCACCTTTGGAGGAAGGAATGTGCTACGCCCAAGTTTCTGCAGGAGGAAGTCATTCAGTCCTTCTGCGAAGTGATGGGAGTGCTGTTGCTTGCGGAATGAAGGCTGATGGACAATGCGACATTCCACCTTTGGAGGAAGGAATGTGCTACACGCAAGTTTCTGCAGGAGAGTTTCATTCAGTGTTTCTGCGAAGTGATGGGAGTGCTGTTGCTTGCGGATTGAGCGATGATGGACAATGCGAAATTCCACCTTTGCTGGAGGGAATGTGCTACACCCAAGTTTCTGCAGGACATTATCATTCAGTGTTTCTTCGAAGTGATGGGAGTGTTGTTGCCTGCGGATTGAACGAGCAATGCAATATTCCACCTCTGGAGGAGGGAATGAGCTATGCTCAAGTTTCTGCAGGAGGGGGGAGGAGATTTTGGTTCACTGACAGTGCTTCTGCGAAGTGATGGGAGTGCTGTAGCTTTTGGATCTCTTGATGAACCATACAACATTCCACCTTTGGAGGAGGGAATATGCTACACCCAAGTTTCTGCAGGACAAGTTCATTTGGTGCTTTTGCGAAGTGATGGGGGGGCCGTTGCCTGCGGATTGAACGACGAAGGACAATGCGACATTCCACCTGCAGCAACCGCCAGCTGTTTCTATGTTTGTGATCTCGGGCCATCTCTTAGAGACTGCGTTCTGCAAGCAGGTGTTGCCTTCGAAGATGATGCAGTTGTGCTGACATGCTTGGATTTGGCCGGACATGAGGTTTTGCAATTGAGAGGAAAAGCGTCTGACCTGGCCTGGGAGACTCACAAGCGCATTGCCAATGACTTGCGAGTTAGCCTTCCAAATCTTCGGGTAGTCCTGCCTGATGGACAGTTGTTGGCCTCGATCTGCAGGGCGACCCCATTGGCCACCCTTGCGGATTTGAGTGCAGTGCAGTGAACCGGCGCTGAGGCGTGTCACATTGTGTTCTAGCTCCGTCAGGAACGAAAGCCACCATTAGATCCAAATCTGACGCTGCGCGCAAGCAAGTCAAGTGACGCAGTGTCCGCCATATTTCCGTTGAAGGCAATGAAATGGGATTGCCAGAGGACTAAAACCACAGACAAAGTTGATGTGGTACTTTGACAAACTCTGGGAACCACACGGATGGAAGCAAGGATCCATGCGAAAAAGAACCAATTCGGTCGTGCAGACAGAAAAACCGCATTGGTTCTTTGGAGAAGATCATCTCTGTGTCTTTTGGCATAGGGCCACCAACCCCATTCCAACCGTCAAAGAGTGCTTGGAAGAGGAACTCAGAGGAACCATGACAAGAGGAACCATGACTCGCGGAGGGGGGGGGTGTCTCGCAACGAGGCGTGAGGCGTGCAACAACCTTCCTGGAGGTTCCGGAGAGGTGCAAGGCAGTGCAAGGTGTCCACCCCTGTACCCCTAATCATTGCTATATGTTCGTCCGAAACTTCACTTGTCAATCATTGCTATATGGCCTGGAGGACGTGAACACTACCATAGACCCTTGGTGACTAAGGGGAACAACTGATTGTGTTGGTCTTCCCATGGGACAATGTTGCAGGCTGCAAGCATTCATCGAGCGCCACATAATCCAGGAATCTTTCACAGGCGTGGCCGGAAAGCACTCGCAAGGGTTCAGAGTGAGCTGGTTGAAACTTGGACACTGGGATTCCAGGTGCTTTGGGAAGTTGCACAGAATCATACATTAATTAAAAAGTACCAATCTTGGAAGATTGTTGTGGTTCTGGACTATTTCACAGAGGTGTTTGAAACCAACTGTTCTCCACGTGCTGTCCATTTTTCCTTTCCTGATTTGTACTTTGGGTGTTCCTCTCATTTGCCATATTTGGCAGATTTCGGGTCCGGCTTCATGTCCTTTTCGAATCACCTGAAAGAACTGCCGATGTCTCGAGGCTCTATGAGTCAGGTCGACGCCGGACGGACGAGGCGGTTGAACGTGATGGAGGGTGATGGGGTGAGGAACAAGAACACATGCGCCTTTTTGGATGACTCAAAACACACTCTTCCTAAAAAGTAGTTTACTCTACACAAAAACTGAAGGATTTAGTATTAACTAATTATATTTCTAATTATGTAACTAATGGCAACTTAAACCATGTTGTGGGGGTTCCATGATGAGCATATTGAGATAGATTCAACATGATCAAAGGACAGTTTTATCTCAGATGTTCATTGGAAAACGATAGGATAGGGGGGCGGTCATGGGGCAGTCCCAAAACGATAGGGAAAACAAACGTGTTACCTGCTACTGTAAGATGTTCAGAGCTGATTTGCGTTTTGGTGTCATGTTTGTCTCCACAGCCAGGTGTATCTGAGTGATACATCAAACGATTAGGATTACAATAGGGGGAACGATAGCCCCAACTCTCAAGTTCCACCAGTCTGGCCCACCAGTTGCCCAATGTGTGCTTTTTCAATCTTGCGGGTACAAGGCTCATTGGCTGTTTACAGCATTCATGCATAGAAAAAACCACACGAAGCTCATGGAATCTGGCAGCATTGCAGAAGAGTGCCGGAACAGTCTGATTTCAAAAACGAGTGAACCACCGCCGGTGCCACAGCTCCGCAAACATCGCGCCGGGAGACGATCCACCGGGCCACCGGCGGCTTTGGGCGACCTCGTTGGGACCGTCCAGTTCAGTTTCGATCCCTTCTTCATCCTCTTTGTGTCCACTCCCTCCCGTCCCCCCCCTGCCATTCTGTGGACTCCATGGAGAAAGAAAGAGGTTCGATCCCTCCATTTTTTTCCGCTGAAGCAAAGCAAACGCCTCCTGGACTCCACTTCGCGTGGCGCGTCCCGCCCCGCCCGCGTGGCGAGTCCGGTCCGCAGGCGCCGAGCTCGGACGTGGAGGCGGGGGACCTGCGTGGTGGTGCCTCATGGCCTACCGCAACATACCTCAGCACGCCTAGACCAGGTTTTGCTGGAGGAGAGCATAAAAAGGGCATGAAACATCATGAAACAATTGCGGGTTGATGTTTCTGTATGCTTGAGCTGGATCTTTAGACTTTAGATATACAATCTTCAGAGGCTTACATGTTTTGCAGGCTTACTCACTACAACTCCATACAAATCCCATGCTGTGGGGAATCCACAAATCTGAACAATCCTTCATGATATTTCCAAGTGGATCAGGTTATATCAGCTTTATCCCGAAAATCTAATTGTTTGATGTTGGTAAAGCTTTTGGGTTCAAGTTCTCTGCCTTTGGTTGGGTTGGATGGGGTTGAAAAGGTGAAGTCATGTAAAAGCAAGGGGATAGGCAAGGGAGCCGCAGGCTCATGTCTTCGTTCAGGGGGGCACTCAATTTTTGAGACATTGGTTTATGATTTCGGGATTGGATGGGGAATTATGACTGAATCACCCAGCTGCATGGTCCATTGAAGAAATCAAGCCCTGTGTCGGGTGTGTCAAGCCGCAAGTGCCATGATCCACAATTTCTCAGTCTGTGGATAGTCCTACTAGTCCCACTGTATTTATATTTTTTTGATTGTTTTCTCCACTAAACAGCAGGTCCGGTGGAAAGTGTTGCTTCACGCCTTGATTTCTCCAAGAAACGTCTCGACGGCTCGAGAGTCAATCAGCACAACTACTCTGAGGTACCTCTTTTCTGGATTTTGAGGGGTCTTTGACCCAACGAGATTCGCCAACATCATTGCCATCACTTCAGGACGAGCAGCTTCTCTCAGCTTCTGAGACCGAGGAGGTGCCGCTTCGGGCGAAGAAGCGCGTCGTTCTTCGAAGAAGCGCGCGAAAAAACGGCGTGCCAAGGGGGGTAAATTGGGTGATACCCAAGAGGATGGACGTTCTTGCGATCAAGAAGTCACTATCAGTCGCTCGTCCTCCACGGCGCCGTATGCTTGGGGATTGGATTGGGGGGGAGGAACTGTCTCTTAGGGCTCCGGGCCCCAAAACAAGTCTTATTCGACTCCAATCCCATGTGACCTGACCATCTTTGGAAGCCCTGCTTGCTTGCTATTCAGCCGGTAACCTTCTTTCTTTGTCAATTTCTTTGATCTGAGGATATGATTCTGACACGAGATTCGGGGAGACATGATGTGATACAAAACAACACAATGATTCTTTTATTGGAGCTTGCTTATTACACACCCCTATTCATTTTGGAATGGACAACCACTTGTTTGTAGTCCTACTGCAATCCATTGGGGCTTCTTTCCCCCTCTCACTGCAGACCCTGGCTGCACCAGGCCACGCGGGCACCGAGCCGTCCGGCCGCGACGGGCAGGCGGGACTTTCGAGTGAAGTGACGTGTCCAGTCGAATCGGTGAGTCATAAGATGTATAGTTTGGGATGTCATAGCTGGGCAGCTGGTGTATTTTTGTTGTTTTGAATGTTTACAAAGACTGGAAGTCGGTGAAGCCGGGATTCAGTCCGATGTTGCATGTTGGATTCTCATGATATGCCTGAAGATTGGTGATTGGTGAATGAAGTGAAAAGGAGAAATGGACAGAGATGGTTGAATTGCGATGAGACGGTTGTATATAAGTGTGTGAACTGTAGCACATGCAGGAGTCTTTGGTTTCTGCTGCTTATTTAGAGAAGTTGTCCCAAACAGGGCAAACAATTACTCTCCTTGGGACATGTGCTGGAACTCGCTTCTCATGAATGTGTTTGGTCACCTCTGAAGTTGGGATTTCCTTGCATACGTCATAGGAGGCAAACCGGAACACAAAGCACAACCACCTAAACCTTCTGATATCCAGGACATAGATGTGCAACAGTGCAGTTTTATTCCGTTAATCAGTCACACACCTATTTCTGACATTTTCTCACCCTGGAGTCCAGTTACAATCACCAATTTCATTCAGGCCATCAGCAAGACCCCATCGTTCTCATCGTTTGCCCCAAAACAGCAATAGCTCCATGGTCTGTAACCTCCAAGCGGCGCTTGGCGGTGCGACCAAACGCTGGTCAGCGTAGCTAACGGCGACCAACAGATCCCAAACCGGCAGCGAACGGTCCGGAAGGTCCGTGAGCCGGCGTAAAGGCGTAAAGAGCCTCCACAGGGGTTGCTCTTGCATGTAGTTGGAGCCTCCACAGTCTCATCTCTTACATATAACAATCCAGGCTTGTCCCTCATGGATTGATTCACA